CTAAGAGAGTTACACACCCCTTCCTCTAAGACAGCATCTCACCTGCTTAAGATTTACCTGAAAATCGTGCACTGAAAAGTGGTGCTTAACATACTTTGGTTTCAACCACAATGCAATTCTCACCTTTATCACTTCACACAGCTGCACCGAGTTTGGAATAGAAGCATTAAACACTGTATCATTCCTATGTTTCCAGAGAGACCATAACACAACCAACGGCAATCCTCTGCAAATCTTCCTATCTTGGCTCCTAAAACATTGTCCTTCCCACTATAATAGAATTCCTTTAACAGATTCAGGTAAAGCCTCCACAACATCCCACCAATTCAGCATTGCAAACCATACCTTCCAAGCAAATGTGCACGAAACCAACACATGATTCACTGTTTCCAACTCAGCTTTATAGAAAACACACAATGTTGAGACAGAACTATGAAGGACACCAATTCTTTGTAAGAATACTAAAGTCTTAATTCTATTTCTCCAAGCTAGCCAAGTAAAGAATTGGACTTTTGGAGGCATGTAAGGAACCCACCCCAATTTAGTTGATCTTAACAGAGGGCCTACTGGAACTAACAAACCTTTATAAACAAAACACATTGAGAACACCCCTAAGGATGTTGCATTCCACACTAGACAATCTGTTTGATTTGCTACAAGACTTGGTGCTGATACAAGAAAGTTTCTAAGCCTTAAAACCTCGCTAACCTCCCAATCATATAGCCTTCTCTTGAACTGACACACCTAATTTCCTTCAGCAACCTTTTAAGTGATTCCTCCTTATCCACCACCAAGTCATACAAACCAGGAAATTCCTCTCTAAGACATGTACTATTCCACCATTTGTCCACCCAAAATCTAACATTATTCCCATCCCCAATCTTTAACTAAAAGTTGTTCATATAATACTCCAAAAGGGTGTTATTTGACTCTGCGATGGTAATTGCGCCTTTCCAAATACTAGACATGGTACTAGTGGTAGAAGTAAAAAGAACCCAATCCATGAAGTCCACTTTATACTTACTACAAATAACTCTTCTCCACAATGCTTCCTTTTCGTACCCAAATCTCCACTACCATTTGATTAGTAAACAAGAATTTACTACCTTCACTCTTCTCAGCCCCAGACCCCCTTGCTCCAAGCTTTTAGTCAGTTCCTCCCATTTGACCATATGTACCTTTCTTCTTACTTCTGATCCTCCCCAAAGAAATGAAGTTTGCAATCTCTCTAACACTTTAGCTACCCCATCAGGCATTTTAAATAAAGATAGATAATACACATGCAATGATGCAAGAATAGATTTAATGAGAGTAAGCCTACCACTATGGAATAAAAGTTTCCTCTTCCAGCTAGCTAGTCTGCTTCTCACTTTATCTACCACTGGTTTCCAGGTTGTTTTACAACTGGGATTAACTCCTAAGGGCAGCCCTAAATATTACAGAGGTAGCTTATTGGTCTTGTAATTCAATATAGCAACAAATCTGTCCAAAGGACCATCAGGAACACCCACTCCACAAACTTGACTTTTATGGTAGTTAATCTTCAACCCAAACATAACCTCAAAACACCTTAAGATCCTCTTCAGGTTTCTAACCTCCTTATCTTCAGCTTCACACAAAAGTAAGGAATCATCCGCAAATTGCAAATGAGACAACACCACACCCCAACACCTATTTTCACCCATTTAATAATACCCAACTGGTATGCCCTAGATAATAACACATTTAATCCCTCAGCTACCAAGTTAAATAAGAATGGGGACAATGGATCTCCTTGTCTAAGACCCCTTTGTGGACAAAACTCATTAGTACGAGAACCATTAACAAGGACTGAAACACGAGCTGATGTAACACACTCCATGATCCATTATGTATAAACCAAAACCAAAATTCAAAAGCATTGAGTGAAGAAATCCCCAATTTACCGAATCATAGGTCTTCTCAAAGTCAAGTTTAATTATCACTCCCTTTTTCTTCGACTTCTTCCACCCATCCACCACTTCATTCGCAATAAGTACACCATCAAGGATATTTCTCCCCCCAGGAAAAGCTGATTAAGTTTCACTGATAGCACAAGGAAGCACTGCTTTTAGCCTTTTTGACAAAATCTTAGTTAGAATTTTATACATTGAACCAACAAGGCTAATAGGCCTAAAATCAGAGAGTCCCACAGGGTTCTCCTTTTTAGGAATAAGAGTGATAAAAGAGTTATTCAATCCAAGAGTTATTTAATCCCTTCACCAATCTACCATTCTTATGGAAATCCTTCATAAAATTGATCACATTCCCTTTTATCACCTTCCAAAATTTTTGAAAACACAGAATATTGAACCCATCAGGTCCAGGAGCCTTTTTACCATCACAATCCTTCACAGCTGCCTTAATTTCTTACTCTAAAAGCTCTACCTCAAGCTTTTCAAACTGAGGACTGTTTTGAACTAATTTGAATATGCCACCTAACTTAGGCCTAACCACCCACTCCTCTGCATAATGCTTCCTAAAGTGATCATATACTTCCCTCCTCACATGATAAGGTTCCTCAATCACTGAATCCCCTACTGTAATGGATACTAACTCATTCTTGCTTTGTCTGCTCCTAGCCATCACATGGAAGAATCTGGTATTCCTATCACCCTTCAATGCCCAGTTCAACCTTGAGTTTTGTAACCACATCCATTCAACCATCATATTCAACCTCCAAACCTCCTCTCTAACTACCCTTCTTCTAAATTCTCAATCTAATTAAGCTCTCTGGTTTCAACCTTTAGGTCCAGGTTATGCACCTCATCCTCTGCTACCTTCAATTTAAATGACATATTTCCATACACCTCCTTATTCCATATTTTGAGTATCTGCTTCAGAGCTTTCAATTTGCTGAGTAATTCATAGCCAGCCCAACTATGTACCATAGTCTCCTTCCAAGATTTATCTACAAGTAAAGCAAAGGAAGGGTGCAAACACCATGCATTTACAAACCTAAATGGCTTAGGACCCAGTCCCTTTCATCTTCCATCACTAATAAAGGGCTATGATCTGAAATGAGCCTAGGCAAGCCCCACAATTTAATCTTAAACACCTCCAACCATCGTGGGTCCACCAATACCATGTCTATTCTACTCCAACTCTCCCCATCTGCTGAGTTACACTAGGTAAACTTTCTTCCCAATAATGGCAAATCATTCACTTCACACTTCTCAATGAACTCATTCAAATTTGCTATACCCCTATCCCTCCTAGAGCAGCCTTTCATTTCACTTATATATCTGATCTCATTAAAATCCCCACATAAGCACCATGGTTTAGGAAAATCATCTTTTAGTTTAAACAGGCTATCCCAAAATTTCCCTTTAGTTCCCACTTCATTAGGTGCATACAAATTCAAAATCACACATTCAAAAGAGTTAAACAACATACCAGATAACAGAATAAATCTCCTACTATTGCAACAATCTACCAATTGGAATACCTAAGGATCCCAAATGCAAAGAAGCTCACCAACAGATCCTTCTGAGCCCACTGCCATATACTCCATTCTATCTCTTCCCCAAATTGCTCTGACTTCTTTATCTATGATATCTGCCTTCTTAGTTTCTTGAAACAAAATAATATCTACACTCCTCTCCTTCAGCAACTTCCTAATCTTTCCTTTCTTCTCACTCCTCCCAATACCTCTAATATTCCATACTAATATCTTCATCAAGAAACAACTAACACACCTTACAGGCCCCTTTTTTATTGCAATCCATGCAACTGGTCCCCTTACTCCTCCAATTCTTTCCTTATCTTTTATCTCAAGATCCACAATTTTGCTAAGAATTTAAGCTTCTTTTCTATGATACTGCAAACCTAATAATGCTCCTATATGTACTGTTGCTTGAGCCTCACTAAGAATCCTTCTACCTTCAGCATTCCTACTGTCAATAGATGCTAATAATGAAGCTTCTACAACAGAGCCCCTAATGACTGACTGCTTCAAGGTTGGTTTACTTGTTAAGGCTTCCTTATGGCCATACCTACTCACAAGATCAATAAAAGCCCTTTTTTGAGGTTGAATCTTACCTTTTTCCTTTTGGGTCCATTTTTTTTTTTACCTTTTTTCCTTGTATTTATTGTCTTACTATGACTCTTATTCAATAGAACTGTTGAGCCCATTACCTATCTAATGTTTGGACCATCTGCCTCAATCCATTCATCTGGATGGAGTACATGATCAGTAGGCCTAATCGTTAGAGGAGGTAACCCCCCCAGCGCATTAGTTACCAAATTGCAGCCTAAAGCCACTTCTAAATTCAGTCCAGGCTTAAACAGGCTAGACCCACTTAAACTCCTCATATATCCAGGCGTGTATACCTGATCATCACACTGTTGACACTTGTCTACAGAACTGGATTTTGAAATTCCCACCATCTTCTTTTCTTGGTATGCTTCAATCTCGAGCTCCTTCATCATTGCACCAGATGACTTTGTAACTACCGTCTCACTTAACCCAACCACCTCTTTGTCCACCTTCATGTTGTTCATCTGTCCATATGTCAGAGCCCCTCTAGCCAATGCATCACATTGCTCCAACACATCAGTTGACTCATCAACATTGTCATCATCTTCTTTCTCTTCTCTAACTCTTTCCTCCATAGCCTGATTAGACTGATCATTTGAATTGAACTCCTCCTCCAAATGCATATGGTGCTTATGGATATACGCTTTTGAACTTGTTTGTACTACTATGTTCTGTTCTTCACATACTCTTATTGGGAACAATATCCCCTTCCACTCCAAGTTTATCACCTTCTTAATGGGCTCCATGCATTTTGTAACAAGCTTTATCTTTCCACAAGTAAACGAGGTTGTTTGATCCAAATCACCCCTAATACAAATAATTTCACCCCATAGACTTCCGATCCTACTCAGGTTGGTTCTATTCCACAGATTCAAAGGTAGTCCATAACAACAAATCCACACACATCTATCTTGTTCCATCACCAACCCTTGTTCCCAAATAACTATATCCTCACATCAATCCCCAACCATTTCCTTACTGCCTTCACCTTAGATTTCAACTCCTCATTCGACTTAAAGGACAGTATCCTCTCACGACCACACCCTTTCTTGCCACTATTTCTTTCATTCCTCTACACTCAAGCTCCATCTTCAAATCAACATCTATGTACTCCACTTTCATACGAAGAATCACACTCTCATATAGCCATTCATTGCCTATTTCTACAACCTTTATTGTTGCAACTTCTCATACAGTATTGCTCCTTTTTACTGTATCCACAAAAGTTCTCTGCCCCATGAATTGGTTCTCAGCCTTCTTGTCTTTTGCTTGATGAGATCTTTGCACAATTTGATTCCTTGGTTGAGATTGCATTAGGCCATCCACCTTTCTTTCCCTTCCAAAATCAGTATTCTTCACCAATAGTACCTTGCCATCCACCCATAACCCATTAGCTTTTTGCAGTGCTACTTTTGCTACGACTTCACAACTAAACCTCACAAATCCAAATCTTGATTGTGTTACTTGTCTCCTCTTGTGTGGTATGAAAACATCTTTAACAACACCAAACTTCATGAATAAATTGGACAAGCCTTTAGGTTCCATCTTTTGTGGAAGATTATCCACAAACAATGTATAAAGTGCTGGCACTACAACAAAACTGACTTTTTACGACACCACATCAACGACATACAATAAATGCAAGCTATAGTTTCTCACTTTTACGACTTACTTTTTTTGCACATCGTAAATACTTTTCCAACCATGACGTGTCTATTGCGTAAGCCATGAATGCTAATAATGATAATTTTTTTACAGCTTGCAATGTTAGCTGTAAATAATAAAACTTTCTACGACGTGCATATAGCATGCTGTTAATACGTCAACTATACACAACATGCGTCACCAACCGTTAAAAATATTGAACATTTCACAACGCACAAAAAACCAACCGTTAAAAATATTACACTTTTTATGGCGCACAACAAGTCAACCATTAAAAAGTACACTTTTCACCATGCATATATGCTAGTCGTTAAAAGTATTTTACTTTTCACGACACAATTTCTATCATGAATGACTACAATAAAAATAGGTGTCAAAATAAAAATTTTGAGCGCCAGAACAAAAAAAATTATAAAAAAAAAACAATCAAAAGCCCTTAGCCCTCACTATCTCTCTCTGCCACACGATCTCTCCATCTCTATGTGCTTTCATCATCTCCATGCAAGAACATTACCATGGAAAATACTCTCCAAACCCCTCTCTCTCTCTCTCTCTATATATATATATATATATGAAACCCCAAACCCAAATCGACATCAAGAGCTCCAAGAAGCAAAAGCCTCTTCAAGTTGAACACAATGGTGTGAATCTATTGACTCAGACCTGATGTTCGATTCTGATTCATCTATTCTAGGAGTAGCCATAACAACTAGTGAGAAGGAGAATAATGAATGAAGAAAAGATGCAAAGAGAGAACTTTGAGAATAGAAGAATGAAGAGAGCGAGAGAGAGAGAAGTAACGATGAAGATAGAGAAAACTGTCGGAAGGAGAACGCTTGAAGGGGACGGAAGAGACAAATGCATGCCACTCGGCGAAGAAAAAATCTTCGACCTATCATTCAGGTTTGGATATTCAAACTAGGGTTTTGATTTGGGGATTTTCATTGAAAAATTAGGGTTTTGATTGAGCAAATCAAAAATTAGAATTGAGTTTTAGGCTATGAAATTTTTTATTTTATTTTAAATTTCTTGAATGTGAGTTGGGGAAAATATCTGAATCTGAATTGGAAAAATTAAAACCTGAATGTGAAATTAGGTTCTTGGGTTGAACACAAAAATTGTTTGTTTGTTTGTTTTTTTTTTTTAATTTTTTGAATCTAAAGAAATTGGGTTCTATCACAAAAATTAGGGTCCTATAGTTGTGATTCTATAAAAAAAAATTAATTTATGGAATCTAAAACTAGAGAATCCTACAGGAACTCCATTAGTATAAAAATATACTTTATTGAATTAATTTGTTGAATTTATTATTATTATTATTATTCAGGACCAGAGTTGAATTGTTGTTTTTACCTTGTGAGAATTAGGATAATGTCTATCTCAAGCTTCAAAGAGGATGTGCGAAATGCCTGGTTCTTGTTGAAGTGGTCACTTCCTAGCTCTATTATGAAATTAGGCCAAGGTTAGTTGTTGGGGGTCTAGAATTTTTGTGCAGATACTGATTTGGAGTTAACACGCTGATTCTCTTGTCCAAGTTGATCCGCCATCTTTGACCCATGCCACAAAATAATGTATCAGGGACCTGGCATTGAAAATATGGTATAGAAACAAGTTACAAGGCATGGTAGGGGTATTATTTAAATTTGGCGGTCGCTTGCACCTGCGAGATCATCTCACAGTCCCCAAAATTTGGACAACTACTGTGTAATGGCCTCTATTATGTGAATCTAATTTCATGTTTGATTGTGATGACCCACATTAGACTTTTGCCCTACATGAACGACGCTGGTGCATGGGGTAATTGCTTATAATGGTAATTTTTATTTTTTATTTTATTGTATTTTATTACCGAGCTTATTAGAGAAGAAGTGCTGATTGTATTTTATATTAGAGAAGTACTGTATATGGTTGCATATTTTAGTTCCTATTTACCGAACTGGTGTCTTAGTAATTGCCCTGCAGCTTACACTGGTGGTCCATCATCTGTGTGATTTATTTATTTTTTTTTTGTTTTTCAGTTGCTCTTTACTGAACAACGAAAGTTTATTATTATTCTTGTCAAAAAATCTGATTTCCCTTTGTTTTGCTGTGGTGGTTGTTTTTTTTTTTTTTAGTCTGTAAACTTTTTTATGTTATAGTTGTAATAGTCTCTAGTGGTTTATTTATATTTATAGGACCTAATTTTGGCTTTCTATGTGGACTATACATGGCCTTAATTATGATAGTAGTTCTTCTTTTTGAGTTTTATTTGGTTTTTTGGTCCAGTAGCAGGTCTGTATTGCTTTGTAGCTCTGTGTTGTCCTTGTTCCTACCCTTCATCTGCTTCTATGCTTCTGTGGTGCTTGAACAGGATTTTTTTTTTAATTTTTTTTTTTATGTTTTGTTTGCGGTTTTTTTGTTGTTGGTGGTTGTGTCTTTGTATAGTTGGTTAGTTCCTAGGGCATGCCTCTTGTATCTTGTATATTTTTGTCTTTTTATTTATGACTTATTCACCCAAAACATATGAATGACTCTATAAAAAAATATAGGAATCTGGAAGTTATACACTAACGATTGGTTTTGACTTCTGTTTTTGGTGCAGGATTCAAGGAAATATACGGGCATAGTGGAGGACTGTTGTTGTGATTACGAGACAATAGATAGTTTTAATGGAGAAGTTTTACATCCTTTGCTCCAAGAGCTTGTCACAACTCCATTTTTTCGATATTTCAAGGTCTGGTATGAATTGACTTTGGCTCAAAGTGGATGAATTTTATTTATTTTTGATGTTGGTAATTCAATCTAGTATGAATTGACTTTGGGATTTCTTATTTATAATTTGCAGAGGATGGACTTTGGTGAGAGGTGGAGGTGGATTTGATTTTGCATCTCTAAGGTAGTGAATGGGTTGGTAAGAGGCTTTTTCGAGAGCTCTAGATGGCAAAGGCATTTTACTTTTGTTGATTATGGAAGCTTTGAGTCAGATGATAGATAGGGCATCTTGTGGTGGATACTTAGTGGCTTTGGGGTGGGAGTAAAGGATGGAGCAATGGTGTTTGTTTCCCATTTTCTTTTTGCAAATGACACAATGATTTTTTTGTGGAGCTAACGAGTAAGAGTTGAGAGATATAGGTGGTTTTGGTTTTGTTTTATTTTGCCTTTGGTATTCACTGTTTATATTTTCATCCCTTCCTGAAATATTCTTGTGATAATACATTTACTTATCAAAATATGTGGGTGTTATGATTTTTTTCTCCTTTCTTTTTTTGTGACTACAAAACTGGCTTACTTTGGTTTCAATCATGTTAAAGTTGATCTACTTTAGATTTCAATATTCTCAGCATGATGTACTGAATTATTGGCTCATTTTTAGTTAGAGTTCCTTGTAAGTCTCTGGGTATAACTCAACCTGAATGTAACCTAATTCAAACTGTCTATTTTTTTTTAAAGTAATCTTTGTCAAATAGTCACATATGAATTAATATGCTTGTTTTTCCTTCTGTGCTGCAAATTTTTATTTTTTTGGTAAAGCGATTTCATTACCAAAAAAGGTGGATATACAATGCAGCTCAAGACATTACCTTACACACGACATAAGCCAAAAAGAAAGAAAGAAAGAAAGAAGAAAAAAAAAAAAAAAAAAAAGCTCTTCATGGAGAGACAACACAAGTTACCTAACCTACAAAAAGAAATCTTCTCACAACCCGAGAGGTATGTCAAAACACACAAGGTACAAAGAAACACACAAAGTAGGCACAATTATGGAACTTCTCACAACCCCAGAGGTTAGGCACATAAAACACACTTACCGGCAAAAAAGTTGATATAGTGGTGTTTCTTGGCCTAATTTTGATAATGTTGTACATATGCCTTTCTATAATTGTATAGATGACAGTCAGTCATCTATACGATTTCATAGACCACCAGATAAATATAATATTTAGGAATTATAATCTCGCTGGTCTCACATTGCTATCGGAAAATATTTTATTTTATTTTGTTTTGTTTTTGTTGACAAGTGTGTATTTCATTAAGCAAAATGGTACCAAATGGTGCCACCCAAGCACAAAATTAAAAAAGGAGGATCCTGAAAACCTTAGTAAAGAAAAATAGCAAACTTTACAACCCAACTACTCAAAAGACCCTACAAAATCCAAAAATTGATCCAAGTATGGCTCAATACATTTGAGTTCCAACTGTATTAAGTAGACAAATACTATCACTAGAGCTTAAACTACACCTCCACACCTTTAAAGGTTCTATTCCGCTCTCATGAAATGATCCACAAAAGAGCAAGGGCCCTCCTCCTCAAAACTATTTCTGATGACACTTTGTTCTTTATTTTTGTTTCTCATGTCTGTGAAGAAAAACATTGATTCTCTATATACCTTGCTATTTATTTTTTGGGTTTTGCTAGATGGTTGGATCCATATCACTCCTGCTATCTCTTGTTTGTATTTCTGAAAAAACTATAGCACTAGCTTTTGAACTTGAGTTTTACAAAATACTAACATGTTGATTGTTGTTTCCTACTATCAATTTCCACATTATCCTTTCCAACCAGTTATTGGAATGGAATGAGGAACAAACTGAAGAACAAGGGGGAGCTGAATCACCTCCTGTTGTTGCTAATGATCCCTGTGCACAAAGTTCCGGAAAGAAAGAGGATAATCCAGTTAATGGTACTGAAGAAAGTGGATGGGGGCAGACTTCTGTGACTAAGGTAAGGAGTAAATTCTTGTGGTGACTTGTTCATAGTTTCATTGAGCATCACTGTTCTAGAATACATTATATGACCCGTATCACTTTAGAATCTGATGTCACATTTGTAGCAAGTACAAAACATTCTCAACTATTAACCACTTAATTAACTTAGGCATTCACATATGAGAGGAATAACAAACATGTATATGCAAAATTCAAAGTTATACCTAGGGTACAGACATACCGATGGGCCCAAAAAAAAAAAATACAGCTATGCCACCTTAATGCAATAGCAATTGGAATGATTTGAATTGTTGATGAAAGAAAGAAAACAGGCAATATAATGCATCCTAATCCAACATCTGTGAGAATGTCCCACTGTAATTTCCTTTTTGGATATTGATTATCATATTGAACCACAGGAGAGTACAATTACCTCATTATGTGTTTTATGTAGCAATTCCTGTACTCCCAGTCAACTGAATCACCTCCTGTTGTGTGCTGCTAAATATTTGCTACGTCTTTGACAAATAAGTATGCCTTCAATATTGACTGCCCAACAAAAGAGACATATTCTTCAGATTTACATGAGTTTAATACTTAGTAGGCACAGAATATACCATATATATCAAATTATGAATGTCTTCAAAAGCCGTGTATATGTGTGTTTAACCTGTGCAAATATGGTAGTTTGAGTGTAGAACTAAAATTGTATACTAAAGAAAATAATATTTTATTTATTTATGCGTTTTTATTGAGAACCCTTATGAAGATTTAAATGATTTAAAATAAAAATATATTTTAAAATGCTCAATCATGCATTCAACTCAAGTAACGTGAATGTGTTCATATTGTCTTATTGAGAAGTGAATGGTTCATATAGCCTTTTATGTTGATGAGACCAAGAGTTTTTTATGTTGATACCCATACTCAAAAAGAAAAGAAAATACCTTCTTAATATTATTTCCTAACTGAAATTAACAGAGTCTAGGCATTCTTAGTATATATTACGATAACGTCGCAAATCATTCATGAACTTGATATTTTTAATACTTTACTCTTGTTACTTTAAGTGCGCCTTTCTTCCTCATTCTCGTTCTTGAATTTTCTTTGCTTTTATGCTTTTAATATTTTAAAAATCGGACCCATTCTTTGTTTGTAATTTGTATACATGTGCAAGAAAGCAATTGATAGGTGCTGGTTCTAAAAATCTGTAGGCCTCGATAGTGCATCAAAACTTTTGGTATGTCTTATTTGTTTGGTGTTGTTGATGTTACTTAATTTTTACATTTTTCTTTTTCAATTAAGTTGTTAAATAAAAATACTGCTGCTTCTTTTTTGCTCGTCCTTGTAAAACATCCCTCCCAAGTTTCAGTCAATGATGTGAAATCCAAGTCAACAGGTTGTGTGTTTGGAAAGTGGTTCTCAAATTTGGGACCTGGTATTTCAGGACTAGCAATTTATCCTTTTGCTTTTGAGCATGAGCTAGTAGGGGTGATTCTATTTACACCACTATTTAATCTCTTTACACCCTCCATCTCATTACAACACTAAAAAAAAATATAATTCTCATTAAGCCCTCAATATATTACCAAAACTAATCCTAAATTAACTTTTTCATCTCTTTACACCACTAATTTTGATAACAGAGTGCTAAACAATTTACATTATTCCAGTGTTATGCTGTCAGAAAAAATAGATTTCTTCAGCATTTTGTTGCTATACATTTACAGAGACACTTTCTTCCAAACAATGATTTTTTAATTTGTGGTGGGCTTCTTCGGTAATATAACGTTAATTAATTTGAATTACTCCAATGCCATGTTATTGGACAATATTTTTTTTCTCAGCATTATGTTGCCTTCCAATTAGATGATAACAAGAAATTAATTTGGACCACTTGTGAAGTGCATGTTCAGTGATACATTGTTATACAAATGAGATTACTCTAGTATCATGTTGCCAAACTATAATAGAGTTGTCTAGGCCCCCGTCGATGTACATTGAAAGATTTACTTTTTTCTTCAAGCAACCATAAAAAAATTCATAAATTAAACATGCATCCATAAATTATACATAAAAAGTATCTATAAAAAGTAACCATAAAAACATCAAGTGTACAAATATCCATAAAGTATTCATAAAATCTGTCATTGTTTGCATCCATCAATCGAATATGTTATCACAATTCATCTTGGTGATTTGTTGGTAGTTTTTCTCCCCTTAATAGAAATAGACATCCACACTTTTTAGAACCCGTCAACCTCAATCATTCCTCCTTATAGTAACCACTTCTTTTACAAGCAAGTGTAAGTCTTGATTTTTTGCCATTGCCTCCAGCATCTGATGTCTTTATAATAATGACAAATCCAGTCTTTTTCCCAACGTTAGAAACCCATGCAATTAATGCTTTACGACTACTAAAAATCTAAAGATAATAAATACATTTATATGCCAAATTATTAATAAAACTCAATACAAATTAAAAATAAGAAAAAATCGTATTAACATTCTCAACTATTAACCACTTAATTAACTTAGGCATTCATATATGAGAGGAATAACAAACATGTATATGCAAAATTCAAAGTTATACCTAGTGTACAGACATACCGATGGGCCCAAAAAAAAAAAAATACAGCCAATGACTTAACAGAATATTACAATTACTGTATGCATCATCCAAAGAAAGAAAGTTTGAAACTTTATTCACATATTACAATCACAGCATGCCTCATCCACATAAAGTATTATAATTTGTGATTCTTAAAATATAAAAACAATTCAAACCACCAAAATCATAAACAGAGCAGCTCAGAAGATAAAGAGGTAACCATTTGAAAAAAGAAAGCAAGCATACATTCCTCAACTCACTGATCTATCTGTTTATGAGTGGAATCGATTGGATGCCCGTTTACGATGCTTATATCGAAAGTTTTGACCAGGGCAATGGCATTCTTTCAAAAGCATAGCTAAAAGCCCTTTCTCCAGGAGAAAGGAAAGAGAAACCACTATATGTAGGTTACACGAGAACTTGTTGTATACCATACTTGTGTCGCCTCACAAACTCCCTTTCAGGGTCAATACCAAGAGAATAAGAAGAGGAAGAGAGTAGGAACCTACTCTCTTCCCTCCAAATAGCGGATAGTTGTCTGTGCCCAAGTTCTTCCATTCCCAAGTCAGCTAATGAAGGTTCGGCTCGCCTGTCTTTGAGAAGGGCTCTTCCTAAGTAGGAAATTTATACTTACAGGCATCCATCTTTTGATCCGGGTGCAAAACAATTCCATCTTTCTTTAGTAGATACGGGGATGGCTTCCTTGTTGGAGTACGTAGTGGTTCGGATAAAGACACGGTAGCTCGCTTTAATGACTTCTTTTCCAGCGCCCTAGCCAAGCTGAAAGTCGAACGGACTCAATCGGAGCTACTGAGGGGAGCAAGAGCACCTATGCTATCGCCGGGCATTCTTCTTTGTGGTATCTATCATTCGACAGAAGAGAAATGATAATCTTAATCTTTTTCTATACTTTAATACAACCTTTTCCACTGAAGCTCAACGCGCGCGCTTTTGATCGCTCTGCTGAACAATCGGACCAGGACGGGGCACCAACCACGTTCCCCAGCTCTCGAGGCAAGGTAAACCTTAACCGTCGCGCAAACTCATCGGACTTCCAAGTCAGTTCAGGCTCACTTTTCACACCAGGAAACTGAGTTTCAACACGCGAAAGACGAAAGACAAGATTCGTCGAATCGAGGATATCAACACCCTTACCCTTACGAGAGGCAAGACCAGCTCTAGATGGGGAAAGGATTTTTTGAAAGGCCAGTAACAATGCGATATTCTATAGATAAGCAAGAAACGGAAGCTTCTCTTCTTATTTATGATGTACCGGCTTGAATTCACTTTAGGAAAGGATTTCTTTCTCCTCAAAGTAGGTGTTCGCTCCGCAGCACGAACAGGTCGAGATGTGACGTCGATCACATCGGGTGGGGCCATTCTCCCAGAGCAGAGCTTGAAGCAAGGGTCAGAACTTTAGGCGGGGGCCTCTGTCGATAGAGCTAAAGCAGTCATTCATTAATCCACCCTCGACATACTAAGGAAAACGGCTGATCCAACTACGGAACAAATACAGACATAAACAGAAAAAGTACCGTACGGAGCGAGCGCTCTAAACAGCTGCCCTCCAGCATTCGTCCTTCAAACTACCCTAAGGGCCCAGAGAAGAGGGGGCGCAGTAGAGGAGTTCAGTTCAAAGGCGAAGCTCACTTCAGGACTCCTTCACTAGGCTTTAGGGCAGCCTAAGTAACAAGAAAGAGGGTTAAATTCCTTGCCTGAAGTTGTGCTGGCTGATATAGCGTATTCGGCTTGAGACTGCACGGTGCTCTAGGCTTTGAAGGAAGGAAGTAAGGGCTTTCCAGCCTTATGGGCTTTCCCTGCTTAAAAGCTCCTTTCTCTCCTGCCAGAGATCGGCTTTTCCTGCTTGCCTACTTGGTCGGAAAAGTCTCTGGACCCCGTCTGCCGCCCCCTATCTATTCTAAGTCTAAGTTACTTCAATGCCTTAAGTTGTTCGTAGCGAGTAGTCTATTTTTGATTTAGTAGAAAGCCTGTTAAGAATTGGAAGAAGAGGATAAGGGGAAATCTTTTTTAAATTCACTTCTCCAATCCAGATTTAACGAGAATTCTAATGAAAAAAACTTTGATGAGGAGGTGGAAAGCTTATCTATTGATGATGAGCTCTATAGCGATGAAGAGGTTGTGGAAGATATTGAAACTTATGAGGAGGTTGATAATGGCGTCCCCCGTATTAAACTTCCTATGAATCTTCTGAAGAAGATTAGGAGACCATGGAAGAAGTGCCTAATAGTGAGACTGTTGGGAATAACTATTGGGTATAACTATTTTCTAAGCAAGGTCAAAAATGGGGACTACAAGGTGATATGGAAGCGCTGGACATTGGAGACGGGTTCTTCATTGTCAAATTCGACATGATGGAGGACACTATAATTCTATATGGGAGGTCCATGGATTATCCTTGATCACTACGTTACAGTTCGTAAGTGGCAACACGATTTCAAACCGGCGGAAGCGGAGGAGGATAGCACTGCAATCTGGGTCCGATTTCCCCAGTTACCTATTTCATATTATAATGAGAAGGTGCTATACCATATTGCAAAAGCCATAGGCAAACCCCTGAAGATTGATATAAACACAGCCATGGCAGCAAGGGGTAAATATGCCCGTGTCTGTATCGAGATGGACCTCAAAAA